TCCTATTATTTATATCTAATTATATTGGATCTCTAGTGCGTACACAAATGTATGTATACACATGTATGTTCACTGGACTATTAGAAGCGTATTCATTCAACATTTATCATGTACTTACTGTGAGCAGGGCCTCTGCAGGGTCTGGGAGTATAGAGACAGAGACACTACAAAGACACTGAAGTGATAGTCCCATGTACTCAAGGGTTCCTGAGCCAGACATCTTCCAAGGTAATTTCGGAGAAGTTTTCAGAGAAGAAAGCATTAGAGGCTACATAAGATTTTATAAGGTAAAGAAACCAAACATCCTTATGTAAAGTAACACAAGCAAGAGAGTCAGTGGTTCACTTGAGGAATTTGAATAAATTTTCTGGATGGAAAAAAGGAGGGGTTGCATGAGGCAGAGGCCAGATCATGAAGCATCCTGTGAGTGTGAACATCATCCTAATGTCTAAGTGTAGCCATTAAAAGTTGTCAAGATAGGAGAGGAAACATGGTTTTGAAAGACTATTCAGGCAACAGAATGGGGAAAAAATTAGAGCAAGACTACAGACAGGAAGACCCAATAGAAGATGGCTGGAACAGGAAGTACAGATAGCCTGTGCTGACGAAAGCCACATTGCCTGGATGTGGGTGAGGTTGTGAATTTAGAGGGAGAGTTAGGAGATGCAGCCAAAAGGAGTTGGTAACTGCCTAGATGTGTGTAAGAGTTGTGCGAAAAGGATGAAAGGGTTTCCAGGCTCTGGGCAGAGCAAGGGGTGGGGTGGGATTGTTGACTGGGACGGGCACTCAAGCAGGATCAGGCTCAAAAAGAGGAAATGATCTTTTGTTCCACTGCATCCAATATCTGGCATGTGATAGGAGAAAAGTTTTCCGAACTATAGACAGAATGTGTAAGTCCTAACCTTCTCCCAAATATGGAAAAACCTCATTGATGCGTTTGTGTCTTCCTTTCAGTTTCACACAAATCCTACTTATAACCTCAGTGCCTTGCTTGTTTCCTTGGATTTCTTGCTCTGTTAGTTCTTCTTTCTCTCCTGTCTTAAAGCTTTTTCCTTCCATTAACTGTTTTCTCTTTACTATCTAAACACACTGATGTCTGCAATAGGTGAAAAGAAAATATCAATCTTTGTACATAATATCTATAACTACTGTAATAGTTCCTATTATCATGACAGCCATCATTTTGAGCTATGTGCCAAGCACTTGATAAATGTAATTGTAAAGCATCTCAAAAATACCGCAGATGAGGGCTGGTGAGATGGCTCAGTGGTCTAAAGCACCTACTTAAAACAAGCTTAGCAAAGCACAGGGACCGCGGTTCAATCCCCCAGCACCACATGCCAGCCCGCCCCGCCCCCTGGTGGGCTGAGCTGGCCACACACACACATAAATAAATAAAAAAAAAATACCGCAGATGGAAATTACTACCCTTGTTTCAAAAAGACAAGAAAACTGATACTTAAGAAAAATAATTTACCCAAGGTCAAACAGAGGTGGAACTATTCATGCTGTCTGAATAAACAAAACTGACCACACTGCCTCTACCCAGAGATAATTTTCATTGCTGATCAAAATTATGAGTCATAGCAAGTCCTTATTCCTCCTTGGCATGTTTCATTTTTCTTCAATTCGCTGCCATCTGGGTCATGCTCCTGCCCTTCCAGGAAGAACCACAGTGACCTTCTCATTTTCCATCTTGCTTCACATGTCAAAGAATTTGTCACAAACCACTGTCCCTCTAGCCTCATTCCTTTCACTTAGGTTTGTCCTCTCTTGTCTGTTTTCTCAGTCTCCTCTGACAACCTCTTTTGCTCCAGCTCTGTCTTAAGTATTGAAGTTCTTTTAGGTCCTGACCCAGGTACTCTTCTGATCTCATTCAGGTGCTTCATGGGTAAGGTCATTCCACACAGGCCCTGAAATAGGACTGGAGGACCTAACATATTCAGATCTTTCCCCCTATTCCAAACCTCTCCTGAGTCCAGGTCTGTAGTATATGATGACCACCAAGCTGGCATCAGTGGGGCATCACATAGGCATTATATTAGATAGCTTGGCTGCTGCAACAAAATACAACAAACTGGGGACTTACATGGTAGATATTTAGTTCTTGGTATCATAGAGACTGTGTCCAAGACCAGTGTGCCCCAGAGGCTGTCCAAGAAAGTCCCTTTTCCTGTTTCACATATAACTGCCTTCTTGCTGTATTGTCACATGACGCGGAGAGAGCACTGCTGTCTTCCTCCTCTTTCAAAGACCCTCGCACTGCCAGGAAGTCCTCCATGTTGACCTCATCTAAGTAAAGCCATCTCCCAAAGGCTTCATTTCCAAATACCATCGTACTGGAGGTCAGGGGTTCAGTGGAGTTTGGGGGGACACAAGCATTCAGCCCATAGCTTCCTGTGCCTAACAAAACTAAAATGCCAATTCCTACCTCCACTAGGTCATGCAATTCATTACCCAAGACTCTACTACTACCGAAATCATGCACACCAACATTCACTGATGGAAAATTTTTTATCCTTCCACTCATTCTATACTTTTTAATTTTTCATGTGTTTGTTGGCTTGTTTTTCTCCTGGCAGTACTAGGGACTGAATCCAGAGACTTCACGCTGCTCTGTA